TTCACTTCAGCAAACATAAAGGAAGCAGAATACAACACAATTGGAAACTGTCTGCCACTGTCTGCTGTCACTGATCTCGGGTATCTCCTTGCACCCATTTCCTCCCGATCACTTCTTTCAAAGAAGAAAAAAGGAAAAAAAGAGATTGAACGTAAATGCCAGTTAACTTTTGCGTTGGCGTTTAATGGTTTGTGCTTCGCACTTAAACGTAAAATTTTTCAGTACTATTTTTTTTCAGTTCATCAAAGACATAAATTGTTATTTCTATTGCAAAGCGTCACTCATTTTCAAGCGTCATACTGTTTGTTTAATAGAGAATATGATATATTGATTGAAGAATCGGAAATAAGATGTAAAAGATATTCAAAGTTAGATAACAAAGTTTGTTTTTTACACAGAGATAGAACACGAGATATTATTCAAAAGAATATAAAATTACTTGTTTTCAAAAGATGCTTCTAATGATATTTGTCTACCTAATTTGTTATAAATTCTATATGTATATGTATATTAAATATTTATTAAGGTAGACATACAGTGTCCCGAAAAAAAGTATCAAAATTTGAAAAATGAGATTTGAATGAGTGTCACAAAATATCAGAATACCGCAAACTAAGAACTAACAGCAGTGTTCCGAAATAACATAATACTGAAATAACAAAGAACTGAGACGATGTTCCGTCATCAAAAGTCATAATTGTAAAAATTGATGTATCAAAGTAATATCCTGAAATATAAATTTCTTGAAATCTTCTTGAAATTGCACAAGTAAATCACCATATCATTTTAATAGACTTCTTGAAAAAAGGAACAAACGATATATGGATTATGTCGGGACATTGTCCCAATTTTAAATTTCAGTTATAACATTTCGGTATTATGAAATTTTGAAAAATTATCTCTGTTCTTAGTTTTTAAGATTATGATTTTATTTTGCGGAACATTGCATGTTCATCTTTATTAATAATAAATGTTAGTGACATTTAAAAGAATTAACTAGAAATAGGTGCTAAATGCGTCGTTGTTCAATTCTCACGAGATTCTCCTTTCTGAGACCGCTTTTCAGAACTTTCGGCAAAGGGAAAACATTTCTCACGAACGCGAAGTTTCCAGCAAGCATCGTGCGTAACGCACTTTACGTGATGCGAGTGCTGTGAATAACGTTCTTCTCCTCCCTTGCGCGGCCGGCAAGAAATTTCTGAGTGGAACGGCACGTCGAAGGTTTCACATTTCCATGGCGAGTTCTGAGCAGCACTGCGAAACCAGTAATTTCATTATCGAACTTCTCGCCTCTCTTTTACGCCGAAGTTCCCGGATCTCTGTAAGCTTCGTAAAGACGAAGTAACGCAGATTGAAAGCTACCCCTGCTGTAAGCGAGCGGAATTTATCGACCGTTAAATAATAGAGCGTGTTAATTTTCGAATGTAGCCGAAAAGTACTGTGGACGAAGCTTGTAATAAGAGATATTAAGTAGTTAAAATAATGCATATTCATGCAATAATACTGTTTGCATTATAATATACATTTTCTATTCATTATCTCTGTGTAAAAAATGTTTATTTTAAATTTCTTTTGAATATATAAGTTGCTTGTGCTCAACTCGGAATGTATAAAATTTAATGCGTATAATTATCAATTAATTCTTAAACAAGATGTACATAATTTCTCTCTCCTTTTTTCTTTTCGTCCTACCTTCTCCAGCTAGAATCAAATTTTTTCTCTCTCCGCGTAAGCCGACACCTCATTAACATACTTACGGTATTGCGTTAATTATGATTCCGTATTTACGAAAGTACATGCACTCGTGGAAACCAGCATTGTGTTTTCGCGTGCGGTCCACAAGTTACAAATCGTGCAAACAATATTTCTGCATGAATTATTACGTTTCCGCAAATATTGAGAATAAAAATTAAAAGATGTAGCAAAAATTGCATTATAATAAATGAATTTTTTTTCTATCATTATTTTTATTTTTTGTAATATTTAAATTTTCCTATTCAATTTTTGTTCTATTCAACTATTTATTATTCAATTGATAAAATAATTTATTTTTTATACTAAAAACGTTGTAGTGAGAGAGAGAAGATTTTCAAAGTATTGAATATTATACATTGTCACAGAGTGTAAAAGTTGTTAAAGTTACAAATTCGACGTAACAAGCGGCAGAGCAAATCGATGAAAATGATAAAAACAATTACGGACGATTTATGTGTATTATCCTATATATCGACATAGTAAATTGTGACAAGTGGATGATAAATTACAACAATTTAAATGGCTGATGTAATCATTGTGACTTGCCTATCGCCGATCTTTGCCGCATATTGAAATATAATAACGTGCAAATATACACAACTCTCACGCTAACTCACGCGAAGAATATACATGAACATCTCTAAATTATCGCTAATTTTCCTTCAGTAATTCGGTGATCAATTTATCCTCGAAAATCAATGTATCCTCAATAAATTTATTAAGTTAGCGCCATTCTAGAGAATAAAATTTATATTCTTGCTTAAAAATCTATAGAGGAAAAAATAACTGTATTTCTTGAACATTCTGTAAAACAGAAGTTTTGAATAAGCGATATGGTTGTCTCTCGAAATTCTGAGGCAGCATGCCGGTTTGCGTCGTGATGGATAGAACCGTAAACACAGGTGAATTTTGCCGACGACATTTATAACTGATGTAGGTAGAAGATGGGATGCCTAAGCCATTTAATACATAACGAGAAACATACTAGATAATTTAGTATTAACAAATAAATGTCATTAAGAAAGATAATTATAGAAGACATTAAGGCAAAAGATTTAGGTTAATATTTGACATTTTAAACATATTATTGAACAACAAAAAAGAAGTTTCAGGAAATATGCTTTAACTCTTTTACGAATAGATATTGCACAAAAGAACACGTATATATGATGTATATATGCAGTATATATGCGTATGTGCATATACATATAATATATAAAAGTTTTTAAGACATCTTCTTTTGGAAATAGCTCGAATCAGTGTAATCACGGAATATTAGACTGGCTCGTTTGTTTGTAAATTATTGGTTCGACATTGAAACCAATGAACAGTATTATGACGTATACAATCAACACGGTAACTTTTGCCCGCGAGCGATAGCAAAAACTTGGGCAGAGAAATGAAAATAATTTAAACCAGAAATTTATAACTCCGACCAAAATAATTCCAGAGACAGAAATACCGAAAATGAAAAAGCGAACTATTTATTACGCTGAAACACGATCACCATTAAAGTAGGTATAACTAAATAAAATAAACATAAAACTGATAAAGATACACCCATGCCACTTTCAACTAAAATTTTAGCTAAAGAATAGTTGAAGCTAAAATACTCAATATTACGTAATAAATAAATTAATGGAAATAGCTAGTTAAAAGAGATTATCAGAGAGATATACAAAAAGAATGAAGAGAGAATAAAAAAGTGGAAAAGAGCTGAAAGACGATGGATAGGAAGAATTGTGGATGTAGCATTGTCAGAGCTTTTTTGCGAGTTACCGCCTCGATTACGTGTGAATTTTCGGCTCCATCGTTGCACAATTTACGCGAACATGCGTGCAGCGGGTCGGTGAATTCCAGGTGAGAGATTTCAAAAGACAGTTGTGTGCTTTCACATGTTCATACAAATGTATCACCCGTAGAGAGATACATCCACATATGTTCCTGTCTATACAGTGTAGGAAGAACAGAGCATAAAAATTTCAGATATGAGATTACGATTACAGAGATTATAATATGATGAAGTTGGTGTAATAAAAAACGTATTTAAATAAAGCAGTTTATTAAGAATTTTAATTAAAATTTTATTTAAAGAAATAATAATCAAGAATCGAATCGAGATAAAATAAATGGCTCAATGGATCTTTCAAATTGCTTAATTTTTATTCTTATGTATAATGCTCTATATATTCTCGTTTTATGATCTTACCTAACTAAACATAATACATATTTTGCATAAAGATCATCAAGATACAAATTATCATTATAGCGATATAATCGATTCGCTTGCAAGCTAGCATGGGGGCACGTGTATGCGGTGTGCGCGCGGAATGAAAACCTGTGATGTTTAAGCGAAACTAATATTAGAGCGATTGCAGCCGCGTAGTTAATAGAACGTCGGTTTCATCCCCGGGATAATGAAGCACAGCCAGAGCAAAGCGCCAACAGTGTGGCGTCGATTGCATCATCAGGTTCGAACGAGAAATTGCCATCGCGTATTCACCAAATACTTATTTAATCTTCGAATAGCGTTTTTAAATACTCTTGAGTAACATCAATTTGTCTAAGTTAAAAGCTCATTTTTCGAGAGATACTTAAAAGAATCTATTATTGAATAGCTCTATGATATATATGTATAAACATATAAACGACATAAAAAATATGAACGTGATAAAAAAGTAATAACTGAAAATAATAAATGGCAATTTCTAATAGATGTATGGCGATTAAACCGATCCGATAAAATACTGTTTGTTCGAGAAAAAGTTATTTTACTTACAGAGAATTAAGAGAATCATAAGAGTTGATGCGAGCCATCTGGATGAATATCGTGCGTCTCTGAAATCGGATTCGCAGAGAATTTCGCCAAACTAGGAAAGACCGACATTGAACAGCCGAAACGTCGATAGCTTTCAGCGACGTGACGTCGCCCGAACGAATCAACGAATCCTGATTTCTCTCGTCCAAATTATACTAGGGGATGCAATCAAAACCGGCGATCGCGACCCCCGGAGGCTTCTTCATTATTCGCGGACATTGAAGCCGGGGAAGCGGCCCTCTCCGTTCGTGTCGGCATTGTTTGCGCAACAATCACGCTAACCGAATTATCCTGATCACATCGGGTGCGCGTTCAAACACGCGCCACCTCTTCGACCTTTCCCACCTCCCATTTCCTCCTTCTCCCCTACCTCACCTGTAATTGATTGGATTTTATTTGCACGATCCAGTGCTGATACCGATAAAAAATGAGGAATAATGCATGCTCGACCTCTTCTCGTCCTTCATTTGAGAACACTTTCGAAAGAGTGCTTCAGTTCGCTTTTGACCCCAAGGACCATAAGGATGTATTTATTTTGCCGATGTTAAACGCCAGAGATTCATCTAAAGAAAAGTAAGCGAAGAAATTCATTTTATTTCTAGCCCCTCAATTTATCAATTCATCCATCTCTCTAAGATCCCTTAAGTTTTTCGACATATTGAATTTTCGAGTTTTAAGATGTTCTAAATTTTATTTGAAAGATTCAAAATTTCTTTGGACTTGTGCATATCAGGCATGAAACCTGGTCAGAAAAAATTAAGAAAATTGATGAGAGTCGCGAAAAATGGAGTCACAAGAATCAGGCTTCGTGAAAATAAGGGCCGAGGCAAACAGTTCAACACAATCTTACAAGCATTGAATTATTTTTGCACCCATACAACTCTTCATGGTCTTCGTCACATCGTTGATCCTGAATTACACGTAATCGAGCGATTCCTGTGGCTCGTAGTGTTCGTAGTGTCTTCCACAATCGCTAGCAACGTGATTTACTCACTAGCGCTTAGATTCCAGGTAAATCGTATGAAAGAAAAAAGAAAGGTTAATTTCGACGTATAAGTCTCCCAAAGATTCGAATCATTATTTCTGAAAGATTTTCGTGATATAAAAAGTTGATGGTATCAAAAACAATTTCTATCAGACTTTAAAGTATCGACACGTTGCATACATTTATTTAGGATGCGCCAACGTCGATTGGCATCGAATCGATGCATTATGAGACTTCAAATATACCTTTTCCGAGCGTGACCCTTTGTCCGAATGACCGCGTCGATTGGAATCGAGCCCTCGAGCTCGAACCAAGGATTTTCCCTAATGATACGGATAAGGCAAGTCTCGAAACTTTTCGGAAAATATTAGGCAAGCTTTCCGTAATGAGCTTTGGGGATTTCGATGATCTGGATTTTCTGAAGAATAAAAATATTCATAATTTCGCAGGTAGGATATTTTATTTCTTCCTAAACTTTTCCATGCAAATATGAACGAGTTATAACGATATCTTTTAATGTTTCTAACTTTATCTTCAATGCTTTATTCGACAAGACGCTAATGTCTTGTGAAACTAATTAATGTACAAATTTCGCTATCATTGTTTAAATCCTGATTATTTTGCGTGTTTTTAAATGCATGTATATTTTATATGTATATTAGTATGTATATACGTGCATGCGGTTGAAATTTTCTCACTAGAGCTGAAGAATTAATTATTATCGGACAGATATCAACATAACTCAAGTGCTGTACGAGGTAATGCCACGCTGCGACCAATTGCTGTCCGCCTGTTGGTGGCGTAACGCTAATCGTAATTGCTGCGAGATCTTCCAGGTGCAGAAGACCGAATACGGTTTCTGTTATTCGTTCAATTCTGAAGTAGCGCAGACACCTCCGATGAATCTTATGGAATCGCGACCACGAAGAGCGTCTGGCTACGGCGACTGGACCGGTGTCAAAGTTACGATTCATCTGGAAAACATAACGAAGCCACCAAATTCCGGTAAGGGCAACGCAAAAATGTAATATTCTACGTGGCGAGATATAACGAGCTATACGATCCACACGTATATGAAGAACCGGTGCTATATCGCGATGCACAGCGATGAAGTAAAAAGATACTTCGTTGACACTCATTTCACAAAAAAATATTATCATCTTGAATAAAAATATAATCATCTTGGTTCTGGAAATTTGGGACCGCAATGATCAAGTGCTGATTCACCTTCTAGTCACGCTGCTGGTTATTGCCTTCACTCCGTATTTGAAAGATTCAGAGCTTGATCGGTGCGAATTGAACAGCTTCTCAGCAAATTTGCTTCGGTAGACGTGTCTGAAAGTAGAAATGCTTCCAATCCAATATAATATCGCGTCTATATAACAATATAAATGATGAAATCATTATCGTAGATTTATTGTAAGAATCGATAAATAGGTCTTCTGTCAATAATATCATTATCTTTACAGTGCCTCAATAATTCATTACAATTCTTCTCCATACAATTGTAGACTTTTATCTTTATCGAAAATATACTTCTGATTAATATATTTCTTTTAATATATATCCAGGTTTAGCATTTTTACGTAAATTGTATGCATAATTTCAGTAGATCATCATGTACCGTTTATTATTACATTATTGAACAAAGGGATATATAAACGTATTATCTGAACAAACATTTAGCATAAATCCAAACCAGCCGAGGAGAGAGAGAGAGAGAGAGAGAGAGAGAGAGAGAGAGAGAGGATATAATGGCAAACGGGACGTAAACTCGGCTGACGCATTAATAACTAATTTTATTTCTGTTGAGATTCGTTAAATGACGAAGTATATATCAACTACATGTCGTTTACTAATCCACCGTTATGCAAACGCGCCGCAGAGTCTCGCAAATATGATTTTAATATCCTCGCGAAAGCCGCCGACCACTAGGATGCATTTTGAATAGGATGCGACTTCCATTCTGCCATAATGTCGCTCCTTTATTACCCATGCGAAATGGAAAGGGATTTATCGTAAACTGCAAAATCGATATATTGCCGCCGTATTGCGCGAGGCAGTTATTGAAATGTCGCTTTCAAAGAACCTCACGGTTCCTGTACCGGTTCTAAGCCGCTCTTGCCGGATCTACCCAGTTCGGATCGACAAAAAAAAAAAGAAAAAAAAATTCATGTAAAAGGTTAAAATTGTATTTCTGCAGACATCCACGTTACTTTTAATATTTCAAACAAATTGTTTTACAGAAGAGATTAGTGGCGTCTTAGTGATAATAAATGAGCCCCACGTCTGGCCTAACAGTGGTACTATGATACCGTCGGGTTCGCTGATCAGCATATCTTTAGAATGTGTTTCCGGATACGCTACTCAGCGAGTTCTCGAACTAGACAAGGACAAACAACCGTGCCAATACGATGAGACCGGCGTGTACAATCAGGAGACTTGTCTATCGCTTTGCAAACGTCACTGGGCCGCCAAGTATTGCGATTGCAATCCATCCTTTTTTTTCCCCGCAAGTATGATATCCTGCATTTAGCGGAACAACGTACGAGAACGACTTTAACGTTAACGTTTCATTTATGTTACAGCCACCCGTTTTCGCGACTGCACCATCGAGGATTTCATCTGTCTGATCGAGTATAATGGTAGCAAGTTTTTGAAATTTTTTTATCTACATCAATACATTTTGCGAATGTAGTTTAAATATAATTAGCCAAAATAAATGTAATTTTGCTTTTATGAAACGCTGGATGACGACGCAAGATTTGTTCAACGACTACATTGTTCACTTTGGCGACGAGTACCCACACGACATTCCTAGCATGATTTGCAACTGCTTGCCGGAATGCGACTACTACGTCTACAGTACCCAGTTTTCTAACGTGCCACTACATAACATGAATGACATTACGCTGGACGTGCACTACATAGGGCAAACTAGTTTCCGCTATAAAACGGACATAGTTATCACACAAATGGACCTTCTCGGTAAGTTCTCTGCATTAAAAAAAATGTCTGTTATATATACTTCATATTTCTTTTTTACCAAAAGCTTTTTGTACTATTGCTAGTATGAAAAAAATAATAAATAAACCTTAAAATTTCGTTTAATTTTTAGTTTAAAGGAAAAAATCAGATCATAATTAGCTTAGAATTTTATTCCGAAAAAAATTACATTACATTAAAAAGTACATTATTAATCGTGATTATTAATTGTAAGTCGGATTTGAGGAATTTATAAAGACGAAATAGAAAAAACCGGAAATGGAAAAACGTTCGTAAAACGCCACTTTATTCAAATTCGTTTTCGGAGGTTTGCGGGGAACTTTTTGCGGCACTTTAATTATTTCCCTATCTCTATTAGCCGCTCTACGGTGGTTTTCCAGTGTGGGTATAATGAGTCCCGTGAGATACTAAGTTACGAATTCATAGTACTCTCATGCCTTTTGCTCAAAATTTTTACGTCGCAAACGGCTATCTTGGGTATTATTCGTGATGTTATCGTAAGAAAGTAAAGTGTCTAGCTTGTCATAGTTGCACGAGAAACCGTTGTATAAAATTTCGCCCGGATTAACATCACGTTGCGGAAATTAAAGCTAACATGTAAATCACGCTTCGAGCAACCCGCTTCAATTTTGCTTAAGCTCCCATCATCCATCGACATGTTCCTCCAGTATCATCAAATGTTTTGTCACGATCATCATATTAATAACTTGGCTCTGAACGATTTGCATTACCTCGTTGCAGTATCTTTCGGCGGCATAATCGGCTTGTTCCTAGGCGGCTCACTGCTCAGCGCTGTCGAGCTAGTTTATTATCTGGTGGTAGCGGTGTTTTCGTCTCTACGATCACGACAGAGAACTGAAGAAGAGCGAAGAATTCGATCGAGCGTGACGCACGTCCATACAACGGTGCTGCCCATTCTGGATTACAACCCTCTGAAACCGCGGGCGAGGAGGATACCAATTTTCACGAATTACGGTCTCGCAGAATTGAATTTGAACAGATATTGAATTACCATGAAGTCTTTCAATAGGTGAGCCGCTTGGAGAGTTTGTATCTGCAGCCATTGCGAAATTTGAGAAGGTAAAATAAGAGAGGTTTATCTATATACTCTTTCCGAATCGATATTCATACGTCGAAATGTGGACGCGTATACGTGCACGAGCGCAAACATGCCTGCGTATATTCCTGCGCTAATGGAATTTTATGTTTTCCAAAGTCGAGAAACAAAATTTTCGAACAAGAACTAGATATTTCCGTTCTATATATCGCCTGCGTGAATCGAGAGTACTGTCTGTTGGAATAAACGGGCCCTGTCCCGTTCTTCATAGACATGTTGGTTACCTATTGTGTTTTACCGTGAGGCTGTCCCTATAAATCAGAAAGTAGCTGCGATATTGATCGGATTTGACAAGGAAATCGAGAATGCCTTGCTCATGTGAAATCTGGTATCTACCTTCTAGAATCCATATCGCATGCACGTGTGTGTATGGGGGAAGGGGGAGAGAAAGAAGGAGAGAGAAATAGAGAAGGGGGAGAGAAGGAGGGGAAAGGAGGGAGAGAAGAGGTAAGAGAGAGAGAAAGAGAGAGAGAGAGAGAGAGAGAGAGAGAGAGCAATTCGTATTTTATTCAACGTTATATATGATACGTACCTTCCATCTTGCCACTTTGCGGCCGCGTAATGCTTGACTTCAATAATACACGCTATACATTTTGCATGTATCTCAAGCGACTTCCTTGGCTTTTTCGAGATGGACTAGCGAGTCGAACAATTGTGTAATGACTATATATATTTACTCGTTATTTGAGAAAAATGCCGTTAATAATTTTAAAGAAAAAGTTGTGATGCATAGAGAAAAATGTAGAAGATATTCAAAGAAGAAGATATAAAAGTGATTGTTAAATACAAAGACCGTTTGATTCAACAAATTAATTAAACTTTAACAGATGGTCTGTGCGTTATATTCTTATTAAGAATCGCATGGTTTAAACAGAGACGGAAAATGTAAATACAATCTGATAGCAAATTATTTACGTTACATTCTCAATTGGGAACACACAATTAGAGGATCGTTAAGTAAGTTAATGTAAAATAAATATGTAAGTTTTAGTTAGCTCGGATTTTATTTTTACTCGTTGAAACAACATAAACAGAAAAATTAATTAGTTTTTATTCAATATTTTCTTATAATTCTTGGTTTTCTGTTTCAAAGACTTTCATATCTTTCTTTTTTATAAAATAGACTTTCTTTATTTCTTTTTTATAAAATAATCTAACGTATTCAATTATTTGAAATTTATTTGATGTTGTCTTGAAATTTTTGTATATTATTCAGTATTCAGGTTTTATGAAATATAATATTCTATTAGGTAAGATTAAAATTTTTCTTTACAATTGCATGTCAAAATATCACAGTATTATATAATATTATCATATATGTTATGCATGTTAATAATTATAGAAATATGAATTAATTAAACATTTAATTATATTTTGTAATGAAATATCGAATGCGAAGTTAATATATATTAGATATTAAATTACTTTGCAATTAAATATTAGTATCCTTGCTGATAAAAAACATAAATAAAATTTGTTATATGTAAAAAATAGCACATAGAAAATAAATATGTAATTACACATTTTTAAATAACAAATTTACGTATAACATTAGAAAATAAATGTTAAATTTAAATGGGATAAAAATGTCCTGATACACAAAAATGCGATAAGTTTGGAATCCTATATATATGCTAGTTATCGTCATTTCACGCCGCAAAAGTGCTTGTGTCGACAAAATGCAGCCACAAGTGTACAATTGCAAAATTTTAGATGATCGTTGAAATGTATGAATAACGGGAATAAATCACGCAGATGGCCGTATATTCAGTGCACTTGGTAAATTGCCGGCCGCGATTCACACCATTTGTGAGAGACGTTGTACGCAAATAATGCATAATGATCCGCGCATCGTCTTGCAACTTTAAATGCTCACGATACGACGTTGTTCTCAATAAATTATATAATGGTATTATTATGTTATCGTATCGGCACGTATCTCGTAGGCAGTTATATTTCTTACCTGCCCAAAAAGAAAAAAATTTAGCGTCAGGAAATTTTACGGAAAAAAATAGCAGGTTCGTCGTTACTAAGGACGCAGTTATATTTCGTGGCATAGCGATTTTTCGAGCAACGATGGACCGGATTTTTCCCTTCAGACAGCGCTCGTTTTCACGCTATTGAAAATAACCGACGCACTTAAACCAGCAGATAAGACACGCGCCTCCCATTTTTCCATTTTCCAAACGCGACACGCGGGAAATGCTTTAAAGCGTGCGTGGTTGAGCCGGAAGTAAATGTACCAGCCGTCTGGCCAGGCTCCATTTGGCCATTTATTATTTATGAGAAGGAAGTAAAGAGAGGGATGGGGAGGGGGGAAGGGCGAGAAGTTGCGCAGACCGTCCGACCAACAACATCAACCATCCGGAAAAAAAATCCCTTTCTCGCGCTTATCTCTTTTTAGGAACGCCGTCCGCTGAGATTCATCCACCGTGAAAGGGAGATACTTGACGGGAGGAAATGTCTCTCTTCTCTTTTTTTTCTGCTGTGTTTTAAAAGCGTCCGTCAGATTGAGCCAACGTATCCCTATTACAGACTACACTGCTACAGCTACAGCTGCGATGTTATATACATATAACCAATTGAAACAATCAAACTCTGTTTCGAATGAACAACGTGTGCTATACGTATATACCAAATAAAGAGATTGAAATTCGCGAACGGTCATTTTAACCACTTCAGTTTTTCTAGTGGTAAACTCTTGCGGATATTGCTCGCAGGATCTGGTACGGGCAGACCAAAGATCTACGGTTGAACAGAAGCACATAGAAAAACGAAGTAGCCGAGAGAGAAAAGGGAAAGCTTGGTAGTGCAAGTAAGGAAGAGGGGAAAAAGGGCGATTGCTGGTAGCGGGACGAGCACTGCTGCTCGAAGGACGACGAAGTGGGAAAGGGATGAAGAGAAGAAAAGAGGAGAGAAAAGGAAGAAAAAGAGATGGGGAAGAAAGAGGAAGCAGAAAAACCGATCGTTGTCAGGGAAACGAAGGAAATCTGCATTTTGTCAAACTGTCGCTTGGAAGTTCGCGGGCGCGTCCGGAGCATGAAGGGTGAAAGGTGAGGGTGGGAGGACGGGGCAAGAGGGAATAGGGTGGCGAGGGATCGTCGAGTGGCAGGAATGGAAAAAGGACGAGCAACGGCGCGGCCTGGCCCCGAAGAAGGAAGCGGCGAAGTTTCGAGTAACTCTCCGGCGTGCTGTTATCTAAACCCTTCACGTAGGCGTCTCAAGTGGATCGAGGTCGAAGGCTGCTCCTTGCTGGGAATATCGGCGCATTACTTTCGATAGGAATCCCGTAGATGGTAACTTGCCCCTCTAATTGACAGCAAAGCATTGTCCTGATCCTGCCGTGAATATAAGAGCCGAAAAAGAATCGAGATAGATCTATGATAGCCTTTTCTATGGAAAAATCTATTAATCGCAGTGTCAAGTGGAAGCGACATTAGGACGATTATTGATTTATAAGTATACGAGTACATTGCGCTTAATTTTTCTCCGGTGAAACGTAATGATTATTGAATTTGATATTTGTATATATGATTTCAGGTATGTCAACATCCATTTAAAATCATTCTGGAATTAATATTGCTATCATATACAGCGGCTGCGTCTAAATTACAATTAATTATATACTACATTAATGATCTTATTTAACAATAATTATAATAATGATTATACTATAATGGTAATAATGTAATAAAGGACAATTTTTATTTTCATATCATATTAAATCAATCCAACTCAAGTGGCCACATTTAGAATCAAATATGCCACGAAGGCACAAAGCAAAATCTTTCTCTCGAAATGAGCGTCCTGACGATATTATTCGCGACATCACCCTGAAAGAATGAGCTCATTACGATAAATGCGACGTCGATGACTATTAAAGAGGACGGGCACTTTCAGCCGCGTCTGCTCTTCGACTTCGATAAATTAAATCTTTCCTTCGACCTACGTACGCTCTCTCTCTCTCTCTCTCTCT